TTCAAAAACTAGAAGGAAAACTAGTAATTTTCGGCCATGAACAAAAGAGAATGCTAGGCGGCCTTGGCTCCAAATTGCTCCAAGATTTATTTCAAAAATATTTGATTTGGTTTAGTTAGGTTCATCATATGATGATGAGACCTAGCTAAATCAAATCTATGAAAAATTAGGAGCAAAATGAGTCCAATATGCAAAATTTTGCATAGGCCCAGTTCTGACCCAATTACTAGTCACACCCTCAAGTATTGCTAAATGTCACTCCCTTTTCTCTACTGAAAAAATACAAAATGAATGTATCAACTAGGGAGGTTAAATGGAGTTAAACTCTCCAAGTAGCCTACCTTAAAATCAATATACAAACACTAGAAAAAGTAAGTAAAGTGCCTCACAAATACAAAGGCAAAAATAACCTATACAAAAGAGCTACTATATGTACAAACATAAGAAAAAGGTCTTTAAGATCATCCCATTCCTCTTGGTTCTTTTAGTATATCACCTCTTGGATTCCTTGGCCTTGGCCATAGTCTATCATCTCCCAAGACAGAAGGTCCACCAGGCCCAATACATCATTATAAATACACAGGTGATGGGTAATAAATGAGGTACGTTTTATCCAATATAAAACCTTTATTGCTCTATACCGAACACTTACTTGATCGTCGAAGTGCCTTTGCAGGTACCCTCCCCACCCATTGGAGATAGTATTCGATCGGCACCGAAGACTCTGAAAATTATAAAGAAGGAGTAACAAGAGGAGTGTTTCTACGCAAAAACAATACAATTTATATAATTGTAGATTATACTCGGAGTTCCCAAAATTCGCTCCAAAGAGGAGTATTGGCTGCTGATACAAATTCCATAATTATCTTGTTAAATTCTAGAGAATGCTGTATAAAAAAAACTAGAGAATGCTGTATAAAAAAAAAAAAAAAAAAAAAAAAAGACTAAGCTAGAAATAATTTTACTTCACTATCTCAAAAGCTGGCCTATAAATAGGCATACTACATCATTGTATCATGATTAACAGAGCAATACTACCATTCTATCTTATAAACCCGTGCCTCTGTTTTCCTTCACTATCTCAAAAATCAATTTTCTTATTTAAAACTCCTCAGATCTAAACTCTTCCATATCCGCAACCTCTACAAGGACAAAAATGTTAAACATTGTTGCATCTTATTGTGTTGTTCCAAGTGAAGAAACTCCCGAGACTCGTTTAAGGTTATCAGATTACGACCAAGTGGTGCGTTTGGGTCACACACCCAATATCTATATTTACAAAGCAAAGCACAACCACAACACCACTGAGAAGATGATAAAGTCACTCAGCAAAATTTTAGTGTTCTACTATCCAATAGCTGGCAGATTGAGCTTAGCAGAAAGTGGTCGAATGGAATTGGATTGCAATGCAAAGGGAGTCACATTTCTTGAAGCTGAAACCACAAAATCAATGAGTGATTATGGAGACTTTTCACCTTCTGAATCCATCAAGGAACTCGTTCCAAAGATTGATTACACTACACAACCTATAGAGGAGCTTCCTTTGTTGTTTGTGCAACTGACAAGGTTCCATAAAAAAAAAAAAAAAAAAAAAAAAGACTAAGCTAGAAATAATTTTACTTCACTATCTCAAAAGCTGGCCTATAAATAGGCATACTACATCATTGTATCATGATTAACAGAGCAATACTACCATTCTATCTTATAAACCCGTGCCTCTGTTTTCCTTCACTATCTCAAAAATCAATTTTCTTATTTAAAACTCCTCAGATCTAAACTCTTCCATATCCGCAACCTCTACAAGGACAAAAATGTTAAACATTGTTGCATCTTATTGTGTTGTTCCAAGTGAAGAAACTCCCGAGACTCGTTTAAGGTTATCAGATTACGACCAAGTGGTGCGTTTGGGTCACACACCCAATATCTATATTTACAAAGCAAAGCACAACCACAACACCACTGAGAAGATGATAAAGTCACAGATCGGAAAGATTCAACAATTTGAGAATTGAATTGGGAATAATCAATGGATCATGCTTGAACTGATTGTACTTTGAGAGTGAAAATTTAGAGATGTTTGGAAGAGAGTATTTAAAGTGACAAATAAGACGTGATGAAATTTGTGAAGTTAAAATTTCTGAGAAGCAAAACTTCTCTGGAATAATCAATTATCTTAAAATATAATCGATTATCTTAAGTAAACCCAGAAAAATAATCGATTATTTGGGTAATAATCGATTATCTAGAACATGAAGAATTTCAAGAGTCTCTGAAATAATCGATTATTTGGGCAATAATCGATTATCTGGTAAGAAGGAACTCAAGAGTCACCGTAATAATCGATAATCTTGGGAAATAATCAATTATCTAAGTAGTGGAATCTGAAAGGCCACTGGAATAATCGATTATTCTATAAATAATCGATTATCTGGGCTGTGTAAGGAGAAGTTACCCTCTGTAATAATCGATTATCCTTAAAATAATCGATTATCCATATCAGATTGCGTTTTTAAGGGATTTTTCTGATGCAAATAATCGATTATTTGCATAAATAATCGATTATTTGGGCGGTTTTTTAAAATTTCCTGAAACAGTTATCTACGCGCCAACTTTTAAAACCACCCATTACCCTTATACCCAGGAAGTGCTAGGGCACAAGTCATTTCACACAACTTCTCTTCTCTAATTCTCTTTTATTCTCTCATTTTCTCTCAAACCCACAAACCCTAACCCTCTCAAATCTCTCATTTTCTTCATCTTCTTCAAGACCTATCCATGGCTTCTTCATCTAAAAGGCCTAAGAAGCTTGAAGTGAGGGGGAGCAAGCGTCCTCTACCCTCTGGGCAACTGATTTCAAAGTGGTTTGCTGATGAGCAAGCGCAAGAATACTACTTTGAATGGTATGCTGGGCGGAGAATCATTCCTCCGAAGACTCTAAAGCTTGATTGGTTCAAAAACGAGGGCTTTAGTTTTCCAACCCTTCTAGAGCACCAAGAGCTGAAGGCATTTTTGGAAATGGAAGGTCCCTATTATCCTGAGTTAATCAGGTTATTTCTCTACTTTGCCACAACCAATGAAGGGGTTATGCAATCGGTGGTGAAAGGAAAGCTGATCAAGTTGGATGGGCCAACATTGAAGGCTGCTGCGGGTCTGAGCGGCACTGGACGGGAGAAACCCCAACCCTTCAACTTTGGAGATTTTGAAGAGTTGACTACCTTGCGGGACTGTCAAAGGAATCCTGTGAACACCAACTACAAGAAATTCTTGGCGGGAGGTATGAAAAAGAATTCCCGTTTAATTTCTTTTATAATTGCTTGGATGTTGAAACCTAGGTTGCACAATCATGCTCAAATGTCAAGGGATGACATTCTGTTGATGCATGTTATCAAGAAGAAAATCAAGATTGATTGGGTATCGGTCGTAAATGATTGTATGTGGAAAGCTAGGCGGAAGGAAGATGGTCCGATTCCATATGCTCTTTTGCTATCCAAAATTTTTGAAAATGTTGGAGTAGATTTAGAAGGAGAAAGAAAAATTGTGTTGCATGCTTCGAACAAGATTGAGAAGTCTTCTTTGCATCACATGGGGATGCTCAAACAGGAAGACAAGTGGGTGTTTAAAGGTGATGTACCCCCTACCTCGGAGTCGGCAACAGATGAAGATGGTGTTCCGTCCCATGATGAGGATCAGCCACCACAGGTGGAAGCTGAGCCTGGAAGGGAGCCTGAAGCGGAGCTGAAACCGTTTTCACCTTTTGAGCAATTGATGATCAACAAGATTGATGTTGTAATGGAAATGTCAAGGAAACATGAATCTTTGTTTTCTGGTATTCTTGACAGATTTGATGATCTGGATCATGAAGTGAGGCTGATCAAGACTCAACTTGGGATACCGGAGGATGAAGATTGATCTCTGTTTTGATTAGTTTTTAATTAGGATTTTAAATTCTGGTTTGGAACAATTAATTTCAATTTGGCTGTAAGGTTTTTAATTTCTGAACAATTTTAATATTTTTTGTTGTTGAACAATTTAAATTCTGATGAATTTAAAGTTTATTGTGCTGATATTTTGGTTTTGATTTTGCTGATTGAAATGCTCTGTTTGTAATGTGTTTCTTGGCTTGACTTGTTCTGAATTGGTGCACAAATTATTCAAATTTAGATTGTGGTTTGAATTGCTAAACCAAAGTTTGTTTTACTTGGTTATTGCTGGATATACTTTGTACATGGCTTATAATTGTAAAACTTGGCTTACTTTGTTTTTGATAATGCCAAAGGGGGAGAAAAGGTTGTATGTTGTTGTTTTTGCAGGTATTGTGCTTGTGTGTGTGTATTGTGCAGGTTTTATATGAAAAAATTCAAGGCACAATGGTTGGAGATGTTGGAGCACAATAACTTGGATTGATACAATGTGTGACATGGGTTGTCATCATCAAAAATGGGGAGATTGTTGAGCTTAGGAGAGCTTGAAGCCTAAAGAAGTTTTGATGATCACAACACAAGTGTACAACAACAACTTGGAGCACAAAAACAAAGTCAAAGAAGAATTAAGAAAATGTCATGTAATAATGCTATGTAATAGAGTTTAGAGGTTATAAATTGTTTTTGAATAGATTGTTATATTGTGTGTGCTTAAGTATGCTGTGTGCATGAGCAAATCTATATGTGAGCTAAGTAGAGAGTATATGATGATGATTGAAAAAGTTGGAAAAGTTATTTTGAGACTCAAAATGAAGTTTTGAAAACTAACTCAAAATAATCGATTATCGTTAAATATAATCGATTATTCCAGCAACAGGAAAAATGGGATGCCTTGCTGCAATAATCGATTATTTGCCAAAATAATCGATTATCCCAGGAACAACTCTCTGGAATAATCGATTATCCAGAATTGTTCTTGGTTGGTTTCCAGAAAACCTGAAGAACAAAATAATCGATTATTCTTTAAAATAATCGATTATCTGCGTCTGAAACTTTTATAAATAGTTTGAACTTTGAGAAACTTCAGACAAGAGTTAGAACTGATAATCAATTTGTGAAAAACGTTTTGTGGAGTCTTTGTGACATCTTGGAGAGTTTTCTTTGTGAAATCCAAGAGTGAAAACGTTTTTGAAAAGCTTTGTTAGAAGATCATCATCATCATATCTTGAAAGGGGAAGATTAAGATTTTGCTTCAAGAATTCCAGGTGAATTCGTTCCTTTATTCTTTGTGAATCTTTGTAAAAATCTTGAGAAGGGTTTCTCAAGTGGTAAGGTTTCTTGTAGTGGGTTCTACAAGGGGTGCTTTCTTGGGGTCAAGAAAGTGGTTATCTTTAGTGCTGAAGTATATGCATGTGTGTGTGCTTGTAAACCTTCTTGCTTAAAGATAGTGGAACAAATCTTAATCAGGTGGTGATTAAGGACTGGATGTAGGTCACATGTGGAGTGGCTGAACCAGTATAAAAGACTTGTGCAATCTTCTTCTACCTTATCTTTTACTTTGAGTAATTGTTTGATTGAACATTAAAGAAGATAAAACTTGATTAACAAGTGTATGTGAATATTGTTGGTTTAAATCTAAGATTAGAACATTATATTTGAACCTCATAATTTTGTAATCAAGAGAGTACATTGCATCCATATTTTCACAACAAGTCTTTAGAAGTGCTTCATTTGAAAATTCAGTCTTAGAAAAGTTTAAAGTGAAATAAAGATCCTAAAAACTCTGATAATTTTTAAAAGGGTCATAGAATCCAATTCACCCCCCCCTCTTGGATTGTGACATTCTTTTCTAACAAGATAAAGTAAACTAATCAAGTTTATGTTTAAGGCATCTTACAAATTCAGACCAAGAAGAAGGCAATTTAGAAATTAAAAAACTATCAAGCATTATATCAAGTTAATTAATTTTTTTCATCTTCATGTCATAAATAATATTTTCAAATTCATGAACTTGGTCAGAAAAATGTTTTTCATCTTCCATTTGAAAATAAACCATTCTTTCACAAGAATATCTTCTTAAACCCTTTTTAGCAAAATCATATTTCAGTTCAAGAGCATCTCATAACTCTAAAGCAATTTTTGTATGACAAAATATTTTACAAATATTATCATATAGAGCACTCAAAATACGACTATGACACAAAATATTTTTTTCATTAGAAGAAACATCAGAAGAGCTAACTTTAATCAAAACACCATTAGAACTTTCTTCAGATTTTCCATTTAAAATAATAGAAAATAAATCCAATTCTATAAGCCAAAATTTCATTTATTGTTACTAATATAAAAAATTTTCGCCAATAAATTTTTTTGGCTTAGTGTTCAAAGACTTTAAAATATCCATTGCATACATGTTGATATTGAACAAGAAAAGAAGTTTTTCTCGCTAAGATTGTTGGAAATTAAAAAACTAATGGAGCACAAATAAATAAATAATTATATTTATCAATAATATTAATATCAACAACACAATGAATATTTCAAAATTAAAAATAGAGCAATTAGTAAAAAGTAAATTAGAATAATAAATAACAAAATTAGAATAGTTTAAGTTGAAACACACAGAGTGTTATCTTTAAAGAGAAAATGCCCTTATTACACTTATAATTTTAAATCTTACAATATTTTTTTTCCAAAATATGTTAACCCGTTATACCATATGCAATTATAAGTGAATTGTTGTATTTCTTTTTCTTTTACTCATGCAGTTATATATAGATGCAACAACATGTGCTTAGTTCCGAAAAATTAAAAAATTGGACCGTAAGTCTTGTTCCTAAAAGTAAGTAACGTGCAATCCGAAACTAACACATAATAATGTGCAACAAATTTTTTTTTTAAAAGCTACAACGTACCCTTTGGTCAAAATAAAATTTATTTTATTATTAAGCCGTTCAAAAAAACTAACAATTTTTTTTTAAAAAAGTAAAAATTGAGAACTTGATCAATTAAGGAATGTACACATGTAAAAGTGGATAAAATTGATTAACAAAAACTAAACAATTGTTCTGTTCGATGAAAATGAATAAAGAAAACAAAAGGTATCTTTTATGAAAATATGATTTAAAATGATGTGAAATATCTTAACTTTAATATGTCTGAAATGCATATGTATTTATAATTTGACGAAACCATTGAGCTATGCTGCCCAAAAAGTAAGAGAAGCAAATGAAATGGTTTCAAATGAGTACATAAGGTCACAATCAGAGGCTGTATTAGGGCAGGAACACTTAGATTGCATAAAGGCATTCTTCATGGGACAAGGAGAACGTAGCCTTGCTCATTTTCCAGGGAATCCTAATATTCAGATAACAAGCTGGATGAACTTGCCGGTGTATGAAGCAGATTTTGGGTGGGGAAAGCCTATATATTTTGGTTTAGGGTATGTGAATTCACATGATAGGGCACTGATTCTTCTGAGCCCAGAGGGCGATGGATCTGTTATTGTGTCCATACACTTCCAGATAGCACATATGCAACTTTTCAAGAAACTCTTCTACGAGGACTACTCTAAACTCTAAACTCTTGTAAGGTATGTGTGTGGAAAGGACTATTTTACATGAACATATGACTACTTGCCATATCTAATAATCCATGCATGTATTAAGTTATCTTCAATTGCTAAATTTATGGATCTCACTCGTTGTGTTCGAGATGTTATAATAGTTGGTCAAAAAGTCTCTCTTTAAGTATTTATTTGGCACAACATTGCATTTATCTTTACAATTGAGTTTGAATTTTTTAATATTTTATTTTAATATACCATCTTTTATTTTTATTACTAAATTTAAAAAATATTTTAATTACAAATAGTTAATAATAACTTTGTTACAATTCAAACTGTTCATTATAAAACCAAGTTTTAATTAAAATAATTAAATTTATTTATTTATTATGAATTTTAATAATAGTATAAGTTCTGTATTTTAAGAAAATTATTATTCAAATTTTAATTATGCAAATTAAAAACTTATGTAATAAAAGAAACAAACAAAAATATAAATTTATATAAATATTGCTCCCATTGTTTAAAACACCTGCATTCATCACTGGTTATGGTTGTGCATAGTTTCTTATCTTAATCCTAGACGAGATTTTCCACCATAACACCACTAGGATCAAAGTAGAAAATCATAAAAATCCTCCAACAGAGACTCACATCCACTTAACTCCTATCAAACTGTGTCTGGTCTAGCTTTATTCATTAGGAATAAATCATATTTTTACTTTTTATATATACCTGCCATTGTATATTTGAATAACTTTTACTATGTGATAAAATTTAATTTTTTATAATTGAATGGCTCACACTATCACACGTTCAGAGTCCCTCTGTTACAGAATGTTTAGGTAAATAGAAAACAAAGAAGAGAAAACAAATAGGGACGTCACACCTTGTGAGTTGGCACATTGAAAGCAATAATTATTACAATACTTATAATGGTCCCAATCATTAACTACTTTTGTTCTGTTCGATGAAAATGAATAAAGAAAACAAAAGGTATCTTTTATGAAAATATGATTTAAAATGATGTGAAATATCTTAACTTTAATATGTTTGAGTAAGAAATCCAGATAGTAAAAATAAAATTTATTTATATATTTATAATAAATAAATTATTTAATTAAATAAAATATTATAAATAAATTAACATTACTTAATTTTAAAAACTACAAAACTAAATTTACAATAAAAATATTAAGAACCTAAAATCAATTCACGAAATTAAAAGAATAAAAATTGAATTTAAACCTAAAATGTGTACATTTCAATTAATATATACGGGTAATGTTAAGGGGAAAACTATTGCCTCTCTTAAATGTATCCTGCCTTAAGTTTACCTAAGAATGATGTTTCCTCCTATAAATATTATCAAGCATATTTAAAATATATATATATATATATATATAATATTTTTATATGATGTG